CGTTTGACAAGTCTTATATTAGACAATCTATCGAATCTTGTGCTGCAACCTCTATTAGAAGTTACACTTCACATTCCATTAAAATTCTTGGTATTTTTCGCACAATTATAGAATATAATAGTAAAAGTTCAGAATGTTTATTTTATATTGTCGAGAATGGTACAAATTTGCTAGGCAAAGATATTATCCAAGCTTTAGGTATTAATATTGATGGTTCTACGTTAACATGTAATTGTACTACCCAGTCTTCTAAAAGTCCAAATACTGTTATTGACATGAGTACAGTTATAACAGATGTTATTCCTATCGAAGATAAGCGTAACGTGGTTGACAATTGTAATGTTTTTGAAAATTGTACATCTACTGATCCAAATGTTATTGATTTTCCCGAATTGTTTAGTAATAACTTGGGTAATGTTAAAGATTTTGTACATAAGGTTAAGGTTATCGGTTCATAATGAATTGGTATTTCGTGGTACACGTGTCGTCGTTCCAGATGCTCTTCAAAATCGCTTGGTTCATTTGGCGCATACCGACCATCAAGGAATTGTTAAAACCAAACAAAGACTCCGCGATTTGTATTGGTGGCCTAAAATGGATACTCATGTCCAAGAAACTATCAAAAGTTGTCAAACTTGCCAATTTAATGACAAGTCTGCTAAAACGCGTTCTTCACCTATGATACCGGTTCGCATTCCAGACAAACCCTGGTCCAAACTTGGGTTAGATTTCGTTGGACCTGATTATTCCGCGTCTGCTCATGAACGATATGTTATTGCATTAATTGACTATCGTAGTAAGTGGCCCGAATTAGCTTTTACTTCAAATATCTCTACATCTACTACTATTGATTTTCTTATTCGTATTTTTAGTCTTTAGGGTTATCCTGACGAAATTGTTACAGACAATGGTCCTCACTTTACCTCCCACGAATTTAAAGAATTCGTAAGAAAGAGAGATATTATTCACCGTTTTTCTTCCGTTTATTATCCGGAAGGAAATTCTGAAATTGAACGTTTTAATCGAATTCTTTCTGAAGTTATTCAGGCAGCTCGTTTTGAACATAAGAATATTAGTATTGCTGTTACAGAATTCTTGGGTACCTATCGTTCCAGTCGTCACTGTACTACTGGTGAATCTCCATCTATTGTATTACATGGTAGACATATGAGAACTTTATTAGATATTCCATTTGTTACACAACCTCCTACTCCTTTGTCTGATTATGAAATTAATAATAGAGTTTGTCATAAGCAAAACCTAAGAAAGACTTACACTGATAAACGTAAAGGTGTTCTTACAAGAAATTTCAAAATAGGTGACATTGTTCGCATAAAGAAACCTTGGTATGTTCCAAAAGGTCATTCTAAATATACAGATCCAGTTCGTATCCGATCTAGGATAGGTTCTTACACATATATTTTAGATAATGGTCAAAAATGGAATGTTAAATATATATCACCTTTCTATGGGAATTATTTTGAAACAGAGGGGGAAAATGGTGTTGATATGTATTTTGATACACCTAATAATGCTATTAATAGAAATAATGTTAATCCGAATAATGTACCATTTGTTCCACGCAATGTTCCAAACGACTCATTTGTTAATAACCCATCAAGAGTTAGATCTAGTACAAGAGTAAGATCAAACCCTGTTTGGTTTAAGGATTATGTTGTTCATAAGAAATAGTACACTGTCTTATTTGCATGTCGGAAAAAAGCATTTCTTCAGGAGAGGGGAAATGTGGTGTCTTGATGTATTATTATGTAATGGTGTAAGGGAGGTAACTACAATTATTATTAGTGACTGTATACCGGTTGTGACGTAATGAGGATAGTACGATGGCTCCAACATGTATGAATGTTATACGTCGAAGAATAAACATAATCTGTATTAATGTCGTCTGTATTTTTACTCATCCATACCATAATCTCCCTAAGATCTCGGTTCCTTTCGATGCTGGCATGTACGGATTGTAATTTCGTGGATTATGGCCCCTGATTGTATGAAAAATCGCGTTTTTAGATTGTGGACCCTATAGAGGTCACAATTTTTATCCGATTTTGTTGAAACTTGAAATGTAAGTTTAAAGCCCAAGGATCTCGGTTCCTTTCGATATTCGCACATATCGGACCGTAACTTCCTGAATTATGACTCCTGATTGTACGAACAATCGCGTTTTTAGCTTGTCGACCCTATAGCGGTCATAATTTTTATCCGATTTAAAAAAAACCGTGTGAATATATCACCGTTACATCCTAAGGGTGGTTGAGTTCCAATTTCGTAAAAATTGGACCAAAACTGACAGACAAAATGGCCGCCCCTCGTACTCAAATAGCGTAAAAAAAATATGGTATATCAATGTTGTGGACCCTCTAGATCTTTGTTCCTTTCGATATTCGCACATATCGGATAGTAACTTCCTGATTGTACGAAAAATCGCGTTTTTAGCTTGAGGTCCCTCTAGATGTCACAATTATTATCCGATGTAAAAAAAAAACGTTCAAATAAATTACTGTTACGCCGTAATTTTGGTTGAGTTCGAATTTCATGAAAATCGGACCAAAACTGCCGGACAAAATGGCCGCCCCTTGTACACAATAAATGTAAACATCTGGTATATCAATTTTGATCTGATTTTGATGAAACTTGAAATGCATGTTTATAACCCAAAGATCTTGGTTCCTTTCGATATTCAGGCATATCGGGTAGTATCTTCCTCAATTATGGCCCCTGATTGTATGAAAAATCATGTTTTTAGCTTGTTTTAGAGTTCACGATTTTTATCCGATTTAAAAAAAAAACACTAATATATCACCATTACACACTAAGATCTTGGTTCCTTTTGATAATCGCGTATATCCGAACGTAACTTCCTGGATTATGGCTCCTGATTGTTGTAACAGAGTGATTTATACCTGAAGTTGACGTTTATATTATGTTCGTTATTTATTTTTAATAAGTAACCTGGTGTGACAAAACTGATCTATAACTGAAGTTGACGTTTAAACTCTCGACAACTTCTGTGAAGACACGTTCTTAATAATCATCTAGTTTATTCAAGATGTTCTTTAACAAGCTACACATGATCCGCGTGTAACACTAGACTGAATTTCAAAGAGAATGTATTAGTGGTCAGTTCATTGTACCTTGACCTGACAATGACTTTCAAAGAAATATGCAGTTTAATTACAAACACCATAATTGATAATAAACAATACCATATATGATTATCACTCTTGTCCACCTCAGCTAATTGTTAGAGGCTTTATAAGCAGACGTTTACTGACAGCAAGTCAGACTTGGAATAGAGCTCCTCTCGATTTGTGTCTATTTCATGTTCTCAATAAAGGTCTTATATACATTATGATATTCTGTTATCTGTACGACATAGTGTTACATTGTTCGAAAAATCGCATTTATAGCTTGCAGAGTCTCTAGAGGTCACAATTTTTTTTTTCGATTTTTAAAATCGTTTAAATATTTCACCATTCCACCATAATGAAGGTTGAATTCGAATTTCGGGAAAATCGAAATGAAACTGCCCAACAAAATGGCCGCTCTTTGTACGCAAATTGTGTAAAAGTATGCAATACCAAGGTTGAGGACCCTCTAGAGGTCACAATTTTTATCCGATTCTGATGAAACTTAAAAAATATCTTTATATCCCAAAGATCTCAGTCTCTTTTGATATTTGCGCATTTCAGATCATAACTTTCTAGATTATTGCCCCTGATTGTACAAAAAATCCCGTTTGTTTTTAGCTTGTTCTCTATCCATCTCTTGCAAAATGTGGGCGTATCCTGCCTGGCAGCCGCTGGTTTAACTAGTTATCCACTTTACTCGGATAGTTAACTCAATATCATCCACAGTTATCGACATTGCAAACACGACTTATTGTTCAATTTAAATCAACATTGATGTTGTTATCTTACGTGAAAAGATGGACTTTTTATATCTATTATATATGAAAAAATTGTAAATCAGTTTATATACATTCATATTATATTATTATATGCGTTGCTACCCATTTGTGTCCATGTCTAGATGTCAAAGAATAGATTCACGCATTACTACTTATTTGTCAATTCTCTTAAGTCTTGATATTGTTATCTGCTTTTATAAAACAAATAAAAGCGCTTGATGCAATTTAATTGACCGTTCTCCAGTAAAACTAGATTAATCATTTTGCATGCGACCAGGTTACAGTTTTAAGCGTACTATTTAGAATTATGCGTGTACAAATTTTGTACATTTTACCAACTTCTATTATGATGCTGGTTGGGATTATTTATTAAGGTCAATTCTATGAAAGACAGTTATTTTCAATAACTAGAAATATAAAAATACTGGATTCTCTGAAAAACACAAATGTTGCAGGCACATGCCACAAATGTAAGGGTGTCACAAACTGGCAGGCTGTCCGCTTGTTGTCTTCTCGGTGGGAGAGCATCTTTAGTTCGCTAATAGATGGCTTTTGTAATAAAAGTATTGAAGGGGCATTATTTCGTGAGTTTAAAAAATCTATTATATTTGAAGTAAGAAATTCTTCATCTGTGAACATAATCTCAAAGCATAAATGTCCATGACTATTTATCATATCGCAACGTGCAAAGGTATTCGCATCTAAATAAACGTATATATCAGATTATCCATTCCACAATTCGTAACTGCAAGTCTTTTAAATTTTCATCGATTATAAATGCATATTTCTGATAATCCAACAATTCATATCTAAGAAGAAGCGGTCATTATTTTCTTCGCTATCCTAACTTTACAACTAACTTTACATCTCAACATGAAATTTCCTTCCATTTAAATTCCAAAGATACGAAAGCTTTTTTTTAATCGGGCGAATCCAAGCTTCATGCAAACAGCTAAACATAACGCCTATGAGGAATGTTTTTATGTATGGTATCTGGGGCGAAGAGAATGTTCAAATGACGTTTAGACATTTCAGAAAAGAGCTGTTGGAAACAATAAAATTTTGTACCTACCGTCTATTAGAAAGATTGCAAAGACCCAAAATATTTGCATGATCCACAACATTGTAATACTTGTCATTTCTACACCTTACTTTATAGCTTTGCTATTTTAAAGTAATACAAATGTTCAATGCTCTATACTTAAGGCTAAATCATACAATGAAAATCACTGAATCATGTGGTTACTGCAAAATATTTCGCAATCCACTTTTCGAGACACTTTGACATATCCGTACTCGTTTGAATATCATTCAGCTGTTTTGGGTTTTTTTTGTTGTTTTGGGGTTTTTTTTCTCTCTACTGGTAAAATACATTGACCCATTCTCAAATCGGCCCCAATATAATTTGACGACCATTTAAAACTTACTAGACTACTTATTTACTTCACTGTATCACGTTTCACTACTCCCCCCTGACAGTCAAATATAGCATGAGAGTATTACTAGTGTAGCTTACTAACATTTGACTGTGACCTTCCATATATCTGAGGGCCACTTAAACATTGAGTCATCCATTATTTTTCGTTATTTGCAAAAATCCTTTTTATTCCTAAAAGTTGTTTCGGACCGATAGATGACTCAATGTTTAAGCATTACGAATATTGTAGGACCCTGTCCTCTTCTTAAAATAAAAAGAACAAAATATTGATTTTAGATGATGAAAATAACGTCATATCATTTTGATGTCAGAGATAATAGGCATTAGGCATTAAATGGTGTCACTTTTATGAAAATCAAATAATAATGTACTCTTTTACATTCAAAATAACTTGAAAGGTGACTCATGCAAACAAGCCTGTTTATTGGCAACCGCTCAAGTTACAAACTCACTTTGACATAAATTGTCTTCGTATGGATAAATACTACAAGTTTATGAAAGTTACGAAGAAATATTTAAAAATATCGAAATGGCACAAATATGAAAGTGAAAAAAAAATGAGCCCGACATATTGTGCGCCTTAGTAGGGAAATCCATCGGCTTTCATTGGTGAATGACTGTTATCATAAGAAATGAAACGGACTGTTGTTATAAACGATTTTAAGCCTTAACTTAAAAACCGTTCTGAAAGCGTTGAATTTTAGCGTAGTAACGGTGATTAAACTACGTCGACGTCACGTGGTTACCGTTTTCATTCATTATTATGTTAGACGAAGTATATGCTAGACAAGTTTCTCTTTTACAAGCTTTTTATAATTACCAGACAAGTTTTCTCTTTTACCAGGGTTTTTTTTTTAAATATTTTACAAGACGAAGATCATGCTAGAGAACTTTTCTCTTTTACCTGTTTAAATAATCACCAATTTTTATAAAACATTGTTAAAAGACTTTTTGGTCTGTACATCAGCTGTAAAGGAAGATTCGGGTCGGTATATATAATTTTGTGCTATTGTTATATCTGTCTTTGAAATGAATTTTAATAAGGCATCATTAAATGAAAATATGCATCTTGCAAGTCTTCATCTTAGCAAAATCGGGACCCTTTGACCGAGGCCATGGCTATCTCTGCCAATAATAGTTGGATTTTCACGACTTGCAGTTTATTCTGGAATTTTTTCATCATGCCGATCCCATCTATGATACACTTAAAGCGAATGGAAGTAGTTTTCATTGACTTTCGGTGGGAAATACCAATTTCCGGTGTTAAACTCAGATCGATTTCAACTTAAAGAAATATATCTCGCAGTACCACTTTTTGTGGCTTCTGAAGCATGGTAAAATGTTTCATACAGTCACGTTTGGGTGATTGGAATATTCTGTTATGAGATGATTCAAGACAAATTTGACATTTGTTACAAGTAAACAAGTTTAATATCAAAAACAAAAAGAAGTCATAACAAGCCAGAAACGAAATAAATACAACACAGTCCACTACACCAGTCCCTATCAAAACCCTTGCAGAGAGATGTACAAGGCAGACCATTATTGCGGCAACAGCACCGCCTCGTGCAGCCTGTTTTACAAACACATTTTGTGAGTTCAGTTACAGCACAAGGGGCAGGCAGGGCAAGATCCTGCACATGAACATAAATGCATTTGTTCAACTGCCAGCCAGTTTGTTCAGTGGCAGGAAGGTTGCTCCTGTGATATGGGGAAACCATACAGCACTAGTCGGGGCAGCATCTCTCCAAGTCTGTTTTGTCCTGAACAATTGCCATCTCAGTGCTGGTAGGTTATAATGGACCAGATGAAGTGAAGAGTAGACTTGGTAAACAAATCTCTCCACTTCCTTGACCTGCAGAGGCAAGTCACCATAAAGATCTATGGCAGTATATTAGACTCAGAATTCTAACATGCTATCGTCTAATTTCTAACTTCTATTCATGTAATTTCTAACTTCTATTCATGTAAGTCACGTACAACCGCCGGACCGGGGAATCGATGCTGAAATTGAAAACAACATCGAACGTGACATGGTTGGCAAATACTATTTCAAATACAAGCTAAACAACATTGTGGTTTAGCTTATATTTGAAATAGTATTTTAATTTGCAGACCATGTCACGTTCGATGTTGTTTTCAATTTCAACACTCCGCCAAACCATTCAACCTGACGAAGAGCGAGTCGTTGGTATCAACATAATGGTGCCGATCACACGGTGGCGACACCAAAGGACGTCATAATGATGGTTGCTAAGTAGAAGTATCAAAATTATAAATTTGTTTGACTTTCATGCTTAACGTGTAAAGCGACAACAAAGTAGACATTTTTCGTCTTAATAATAGAAATAAGACGAAACAGAATTAAAATTTAAACTGAACAAAAAAAGAAGTTAGATTATACATTGTCTTAATTTAGAAATTACATGAATAGAAGTTAGAAATTACATGAATAGAAGTTAAAAATTACATGAATAGAAGTTAGAAATTAGACGATAGCATGTTAGAATTTTGAGTCTAATATACTGCCAAAAAGATCACGCCTTCGCCACGCCTTCGCCCGCGCCACGTTAATTGTCTGCGATATCACCTCGGTGGAAGCGGGCGTAAAATACAACTAACACACACACACACGCGTTCATAACAGGGTCATCACCATCAAAAGAATCTTTTAATCTTTGTTTTGTTTTTATTATTTTTCGCCTACATTTGATTTATAGACGTTTACCCCTTTGTTTGAACCTAAACATTACTTTTTTCCTTAGCCCTTTGTCTGTTTCGCGTTCCCCGGTCAGTTTACTAGAAAATATGTATCTGCCTAACCACGAACATTTCCAAGGGTATTCCATCCACCTGGAAACTTTGGCCGTGTTTTACCTATGGACGATATGGCTGTCACTCTTTGGATGTGGGTCAGATTATGAAGAGGTAGGTTAATAAATAGCATATATGGTAACTATTAATATTATCTCATATTTTAATCTCTTATTTTTATTGTTTTACATAATATCAATCTTTTGTTCTTGCAGGACACTGTTGAAGATAAAAGATAAATTTCATCCGGCAGTGGAGTATGGCATGCTGGACTTCGAACCAAGTTGTTGGTTTGCTATCAGGAAAGTGTTCCCCGGTGTGAAATTAAAGGGCTCTGTTTTCCTTGGATAGTTTGATGGCTCTACCCTTTCTATCCGCCGACCACATGAGAGCCACCCGATTAGATTTTATTACATACTTCGAGAAGGTTTTTGTTGAGTAATAAAACCTTCTAGTAGTTTATCGAGGGCTGGTCGTCCTTACCGCACGGTACAAATATTATCACCACTAGAAGCAACAAATTCCAGAACAAGCCAGAGCTCATACCAAAATGGCCGCTTTATACAAATGAGTATTTAGGGGAATACTAACCCGAACCTTAACCCTAACCCTTTTAAGAGAAGTAAAAACTAAATTAGACCCAAGTTCAATCTTTTAAAAAGGGTTAGGGTTAGGGTTCGGGTTAGTTATCCCCAAAATGCTCATTTATATAAAGCGGCCATTTTGGACTCCGGAAGCACCCGAACCTCGATAAACTTCTAGAAGGTTTTATTTGTACCGTGCGGTAAGGACGGCCAGCCATCGATAAACTACTAGAAGGTTTTATTACTCAACAAATACCTTCTCGAAGTATGTAATAAAATCTAATCGGGTGCGAGAGCTGCCTTCGAGAAATTGTGTCTGATGGCAAACACAGATCCTTTAAGGAAACTTGTTTCCTATATCAGACAGACCTGGTTCGAGTCGTCTGTATATACGTTAAATAATAAGTTTTTATGTGATGGCGTTCAGAACGAATAATGATTGTGAAGGTGAGTTAATTTAACTACTTAAATCCATTAATAGTTTATTTTAAATATTCTTATTACATATGACATTCAATATTATTTACATGATGACATTCAATATAATAATATTCCATGATGACATTCTTTAATATGACATTAATGTATTTCAGGATTGCACAAACGTTTGAATTCCAAGTCTATGGGAGCAGGTATCCGTTTTTACATACTGATCCCGATATTAAAAGAAGAAGGAGATTTAATTGACATCCAATGGCAGATGATCGAAGAGGAGTTCAATTTCTGAAATTGTAGAAAAACATATTGCAAAATAAATGAAAAGATTTTTAATGCATGGGAGAGATATTCGTAGCGGTCGATAACAACAAGTGGTTTTCTTAAGTTGGACGTAGATGAAAAGATAGACTATATAAGTAAGGAAGAAAAGTTACTGATTTATTTAGGCGATGTTTCGAAGAGTATTCTCTCAAGTGCCTTGATATTGTTATTAATGTATTATAAATAAAATATTAAAAATACGTAATACCTGGGGTTTTTTTTTTTTAATTTGTATGATGAAAGGATCGGATATAAGTGGGATTGAACGACCTGTGTAAATTTGGGATGAAACAGCCCGAGATAAACCGGTAGTGGGATGAAACGACCTGCTCCCTCACCCGATTACCTCCCCTTTGTGAAACAGAGGGCGCTGACGAAACACGGATCAAAACATTGGATATTTTCTCCAGCAAAAAGTTGTAATTTACCTTTTTTAATTAATATATTCGTGTATGTGAATGAGTAAGATGATGCATAACGACGATAGATTCTTGAAGAATTCGTAGATATAAAAATAATTGGGGAAACGAATCTTATAGTGTGTTTGCCTATTGCCGAAAGCGCTGAACTGTCGACGAAAAAGTAAATCGGATACACTATACACAGAGATCCTGTTTACACACCGACACGACAAACCTCCATATAATTGACAAATTGGATTTTGACTGTCAGAAGCTGTCAAATTGTTTGATTTATTATTGTTAGTATATTGTTTATGTTAATGTTATATTAGCTATTGAAATGTTATGAATAAATATAGATAATTATAAGCTTTTAATAAGCTTATTATAAATTTATATTATTAATGATGATTAAAAAAAAGTACAAAATGGAATAAACTTTATAAACACCAACTCTGCACTGTCTAAAACACAAATGAAGTAGGCCTATTGTTTGCTTTACTCTAAGTCATGTCTGTTGAAATTGTATATTTATTAGATTAGCCGTGTGTGGAATAATGAATTGGGTATCTTCTTTCTGAAGGCACCTGCGTTTTGTCCAGTGGCCAGTTTAGTTTGGCTCCGTTCCATGTCATTCATGTGCATAGTGAAACCATGTCATTTCATTTATAGGACCTATTTTATAACAGCAGAGAATTTATTTATCTTTCATTTGAGAAACACTCTTTAGGTCTATCAGGTCCCTTTTTTGTTATAAATACAGTGTGTAATTTTATCCCACTCATAATTCTGAGCTTGGTTATGAATAAAATGTATTAGGCTACTAATAAAAAGGATTGTTGATATGACATTCAATTGTAAAATTACAAACACTGTGATACCAATCTCAAACACAAATATGTTATAAAGAAAACAAAATTATGTTTGCTGTAACTGTTGATAAGCCTTTTACGAGGAAGTTTATAACCCGAAGGATTATTCTGCAGTCCTATCATAATATAGCCTACTTATAATTTTAAATACTTCTGAAACAACAATAACGATCCAGTAATATATATGGATAAAAGTGAGGATAAAATTAGGATGAAACAAGCTTATAGTTATACAATCAAGCCTGGAAATAATGCACCTGTCACAGACAATGTCAGGCACAGATTCAGGCTTTGTCAGGCATAAAACCTTAGGTGCCTCTCATTTTGTCCGGCACTGATTTGTCTTTTTTATTGACATTATTAATACATGTCTGGCACTAAGTTGAAAATGTCAGGTACTATTTCATTAATGTCTGACATTTTGTCAGGTGCATCTAAAACCGTTATTTCCAGGCCTGTATATGTACATGTATAATACAATGTACTCTCTCTGAACTAATTATTTCTTGAACATACATGTAGTATGACATAATTTATTTGTGTCTTACTTTCATCTTTTGAAATTTATCTTTTAAGTTTATATGTTACTTGACTTTTACTTTTCATTTACTGAAATGTTCCTATGGTATATTTTATGTATAATGTTTTGCCATCCATCCACTTAATTATTACCTTCACAGCTCACATCGCTAATATCTGAACTATTTGTTTTATTTCAGAAAATTAAAAGATGGAAGAAGAGGACAAGAAAGGATCAGAAACTTGTGTTGATTTAGCTGATTTTGTTTTTGAAGTTGATCGATTTTCTAAACTTATTGAACCTTTTGCCTTCTGTTTTTACTTTATTGATGACATAAGACGGTGAGATAATAATATTCAGTCTTTTCTTCTTTTGGAATATAGGACCTTAACAGTAAATATCCAATGATTATGTTCCAAACTACTTTCTTTGATTCTCCCCAAGTGATACAAGTAGTCTTTAAATCTAATTGGATGTCCTTACTTAAGCTTCCCTAGATGGTTTCAACAAGTCTAATGCCCAAAAATTAAAGCTTGAGTGAGGGTGGTGCAAGTTATGTCCAATCCATTATCATGTCCAAGAATAGATCCTACAACTCATGCATAAAACACTAACATGGATTGAAACTGGATTCCACTCTAACAGCTCATGTGTAGGAAGTGAAGCGTCATCCTTGAAACTGATAGAATTAATACCTTGTATGAGATCTGACATACAGCAGAGGGGTCCAGAATGATGATGTTATCCCATGCATTGGCCACACCATTTGATGGGATTTGAGTGTGTATGTACATTGTATGTTATTTTAATCTGATCACCTATCATGCATTCTAATATGTTCAGTTAATATTTAAATATTTTTCTATTGTTTTTCAGATGGCGCTACCCAATGGTTTCTGTAGTTTTACTCCTTGTCTTAAATTTATCTTGTTTCCTTTTAACTAAAGGTTTGTACTGTTTTAATAAATCTTCTTTAGATTTAACAGGAGTCAAAGATAAGATAAAATCCAGAAAGATAATAAAACTTTAAATTCATATACTGGTATTTAAAACATGTAGGCTCAGTATATCACTTACTGTTCTGTGGAAAATTGTGTTAATACAACAGGGTATGAGTACCATAGTCATCGCCCGCGGGTTTTGATGCCATCATACATGTACCGTTACTGCTATCCTGAGACTCGTGGATCGTTTCCAGCGGACAGGGTCTAAATAGATATCGGCCAAGGTCTGGTCAGCAACACATGTACCCTAATCCACTTATGACAATAAAACAGGACAGGGGCAGCTTGATTGGGTAAATTTATGTATTTTCAATTCATCCTAAACTGCTTGTTTGATTTTGACCCAAATTAGTGCATGTTCTTAACTTTAAATATTTGTTTGTAGATTTCAATAAATATGAACAAATAACATTTAAAATTTTAAATATTTTTTATTTCAGGATGTGTTTTTGTGATTGCCTCGTTAGCTGTGATAATTGTTGCCTCTGTGTCTTTATTTCACGTACATACACGAATATTAGATAAAGTTTTACCGGAAACTAGACGTTTACCTCGCATTTATAATGGACAAGACATAGATACTCTTCAAACTGTCCGAAAATTTCGATACAGGTAAATTTCGCTTTTCTACATGTACCGTACCCATCAACTCGATGTTTTGTTAATGCTATAAGGTTATGTTTAAACCTAGTTCATATCTCATCATTTTCTGGATTAAAACATTTTTTTAGTTGTTCAATTTTAGGGCCTATTTTTAAGCACTTGCCTACTCAGCATTAATGATTTAGTACTTGAGCTTTGTTTTAGTGTCTTTTAATAAAAAAGACTACCAGTAATAAGTTTGACTGATTAAATGTTAACCTTATTTGTTTTTCAGTTTGATTGAGATGCATGATTTTGTGATAAAATGTAACGAGTATCTGTCGTCATTTTTCACAATATTAAAATGGGAGCAAACAATACCATCTCTCATGTAAGTAAATGTATTAGAGTGATAGTAAAAATCATACTAAATCTCAAGCAACTACTCTCTACTGAAAATGTTTAATCTGAAAATTATTTAAATCCACTATTTTTAAATTGGTGGGGGGTTGGATGGCCGAATGGTTAGCACGTGTGCGCTGTATCATAAAGCCTGTCATTGAGTCAACTGGCGTGATTTCAAATCCCCGGTTGTACGTGACAAGGAGTAGGGTCGTCTGTCCAACCTTGTGGGTTTTCTCCGGGTCCTCCGGTTTCCTCCCACTGCTAAAGACCCCTACACGCAAGCAAATTATTGAAATAAATCATATGTTAGTCCCAAAATGACCTAGTTTGTGTCGAGTGGACGTTAAACCCCATTTCTCTCTCTCTCTCTTTTTAAATTGGATCATGACCATTTAAGAAAGTGAGTCTTGGTTTGATTAAATGATAGAAGATATCTTCTATTGATTATCACTATTAACAAAAACATACAAGTCTATTCACTGATTTATTAATGGATCAAAATGTCTTTTGATTGACCACTCCCCATTGGGGTATTTTATGAATTTCCAGCAAATGCGCAATAGATTCAGGTGATGTTTGATCAAAGCGATACTGATTCTGTGTTAATATTTTTCTGCTCAAATTCAAAACCCAGTTCTCTATGCTGTACCATGAAACACACCCAAAAGTATTGTATATGTACATGTGTAGACAAACACCTCAGTGGAGAAAAAAGGGGAATATAAACCTCTTATTAGAAATTGGTGTTTGTTTTGTAATGCTAGTTATAATATATTATTTAGAATGTTACAAAAGCACAATTTCCTATAACTATTCACCTGTGACACATATAGCATTAATTGTTTTATTGTAGGTTTATTAGTCTTATATCTGAAATAATTTGATGTTCAATTGTATTTTGTTAGATTTCATGCTGAAGTATGTGTGTTTATCTTGAGCCTGGTTGTCATGCCGACAAGATGGAACTTCTTTCTATTTTTTAACTGGTTCTTCCTCTGTCAACAGGATACTATTAACTGTAAGTTCTTGTTTAATATGCCCATATAGACGGTTATTCTCTTTAAATTTATACACACTGTTTAAGCTCATGAGATGAAGAATCCTACTGCCCTTGATCACAATGATTTGGATATTCTGCATATTTTGTGTTATTGCCCTGTAAATATCTTTATTCTAAATATCAAACAGTATTATTATAACTATTTTCAGATGTGAAAAAACAATTCTTAGCGGATGAGAAAAGTGCCACAACATCGGAATCAAATGGTATTAAATCTGATCATGTAAAAACAAAGGTAAAGTCTGGTCTTCATTTATTTTAGGTTAATCAGACAAGATGACAAAGACATATATAAATAGGTGTATATAGTCACAGGACATTTTATTGTATATTTCAATGGAAATTCAGATCTACAAAATATTGTATGAAATTAAGTAAAACTTGACATCAGTAAAAAATATATTATGCCACACAAAAAAATATTCTGGTTCCCAGACAATCCTTTTAAAAAAAATTGATTGGGGAGGGCATTTTATGGGTTTTTTTTGTCAAAATCTAGCTCGTTTTTCATTTTTAAGAAACACAATAAATTATTATAAATTGCTTAATAAGAAAAACAAAAAAAATAGGTAAGAAATTGAAATAACGTCCAAATAATTCTATGACTTCATCTATCTACATTAACTCCTGGGAAAATGTTTTCAAATCCGTTGGTTTTTATTTTGGCGACCATTAGTAATAGTAGATCAACGTGGTATCAAAACTGTACTTATTGTTAAAGAATGTATTTTACTGTGCCGTCAATCTACACTCAGAGAATATTTTTGGTCATCTCTCTCACTTTCATATTTCTCGGGGAAAGGAAAGGCATTTTGGTCGTAGAAAAAAAGACAGATGACCGTAAAATTGTCACCATCTTTTCGATCGATAAATAAACATTTGATTATCCAGTGTCGTTCCTGATTGTCGATAGTGTTTCCCATGGTTACGTGGTTGATAGCTGAGTCTAGTGTTCATATCCTGTTGTTAAGAAACCATCAATAGAGTTTCATTCCTTGATCACAGAAAATATGAACGAGTGGAAATTGTTGACTTATTTTTTATTTTTTTTTAAGAAGTGTCACACGGCCCATTTTTGATTATGCGGTGGTATCTGAGAACCAGAATATTTTTTGTGTGGCCTTATGGTTAGAATAATTCTAACATGTTGTATATAATTTAACAGGAGGAGTTAGAAGAAAGTAAAGTGAATGGAGAGAGAAGAGATTCCACTGATGTATGTATTATTATTATTTAAAGGGAAATAATGCCAAAAATCTACAAAACCTGTATGATAAAGACGACATCAGTACCTTTTATTATCAAACAGTTTATATGTCTTCATAACACTTTAATAGTAATGAATGTGCTATTACTGGCGTTTTATGGGCTGTTGGATGATCGAATGGTTAGCACATGCATGCTGTATCATAAGGCCTGTCATTAAGTCAACTGGCGTGGTTTCGAATCCCCGGTTTATATGTCTTCATAACACTTTAATAGTAATGAATGTGCTATTACTGGCGTTTTATGGGCTGTTGGATGATCGAATGGTTAGCACATGCATGCTGTATCATAAGGCCTGTCATTAAGTCAACTGGCGTGGTTTCGAATCCCCGGTTGTACGTGACAAGGAGTAGGGTCGCCTCTCCAACCTTGTGGGTTTTCTCCTGGTCCTCCGGTTTCCTCCCACTGCTAAAGACCCCTACGCGCAAGCGAATTATTGAAATGAAATTAAACCATATGTTAGTCCTGAAACGACCTAGTTTGTGTCGAGTGGATGTTAAACCCCATTTCTCTCTCTCTCACTGGCGTTTTACCACTTTGACATTTTTATCTCTGTCAGTGACTTGCTCAATTAATTATAGATTTAATTCTGAATGCAGCCTAAATTTGATACATGAATAACTTTTAATTTGAATCAAATTAACTCCGTGTTTTAACAGACAGAGCCATGTGATGGATCGTATCCTGAACCTGAGTCTATGATACCGTTAGAACCACAACCTACTAAACCGGGTATGGTGGCCAGATTATTAGAACTAAAACGTAGACGGCAGCAAGTTACTGCAGGTAAATACACCTTGATCACAAATATACATTATAAGCTTATATCTCTAAATTGCCACATACAATCTCTTCTGTTTACACTGCTATATATTGAGAGCCAAATTGGCTCAGTGGGTATGACACTGGCTTACTAACCATGAGGTCCTGGTTTTAATCCTCTCGGTTTTCCAGCCTTGTTTCACGTAGACAGAATGGCAGACAAGTAAGAATCGCCTAGTCGTTCAGATTGAACGAAAAACCATGGTACCATGTACATGTGGGCATGCACGTAGAAAAACTCTTGACAGTTTGAATTCACTGAAGAGTAGACGGAATTGTTGTCCAGCCAAATTACCCCTCATAGCACACTGCATGACATATTTGTGTCTTATTTACCAGATTGGAAATGAACAGTAGGACATTAAACCCCATTTCTTTTCATTACTATATTATCAACACTTAAAGTTAACTCAAATGCAAACTTATTAGAGTTTTTGCTCTTATTAAAATGATTGTCTTCTGAGAATCCTCAGATCATATTGACCGGTCCTCTTAAAACTTTCATCTCTGCAATGGGTCAAACATGATTATACACAAACCATTTCAATTCAACTCAAACTAGGACATTTTGGAACTAATATATTATATACTGATCTTGAGATGTGGGAGGAAACTGGAGGACCTAGAGAAAACCCACAAGCTTACGCGGGTGATTCTTCTACTCCTTGATGCATATGATCAAAATCACATCATTTGACTCAGTGACAAACTGTAGGTTTTAAAGTGCATTTTAGGAATCAAAATCTTAATTTTATTGACATAAGTTGATAGATCAACTGATTTAATCTCATCTAATCTGTTTTATAGAAAGCTGTTTTGGATGTAAGGTGTCATTTTCTTCCTTCTTAAAAAGACGGGTAAGTTAACAAGTTACTAATTACATGTTGATATACTAATTCAAGGCCCATAATCCATTTCCAAACAATGTGGAACCATTGTGGTCGTGGAATTGGAACTTTTTACTAGTACTACTAGTTGATACACTCTTTAAATACTTTCTTTTGATCAGAAATGAACCAATTAAGTGATCCCGTTGAAAATGGTGGTTCTTTAATACAATGTTTCCAGTCCCATGTCTGTGTTTTCCCTATCAATACCCGATATAGTGTGAATAAAGCCATGATCAAACACAGTGGAGATAAGGTCTCATTCTATTGGCACGTTTACTTGACTGTCAGGATTTTTCGATTTTCAACAAATTTGTAAACCCTAGAGTGATATGATGTGCATGTATTTTGTGTTTTTTGTTGCTCACCATGATAAAGACATAATAAATTGTTGATTCCGTACTAATGACCCCCCATTGTTTTTTATATTATAGTATTATTGTCGACATTGTGGTAAAGATTTCTGTAATAAATGTTGTAATCAGAAAGTACCAAGATCTGTGTTTGGAGCTACTTGTAAGTACATTTTGTTGTTTTCTGCCAAGCATATATCTCCGTCGGTCTCCCGGTTATTAGAGGGAAATTCATCTTTTTTGCTTACATACATTTCTGATTCTAAATGGTTAGCTATACCAAAGTCAGTTTTAATAAGAATAATAAAATGTTGTTGTATTATATCAATGATATATTATACACAGGACACCATTCTGATAAATACATTTACTGTCTATTGTTTATTGCCTGTCCAACCTCATGGGTTTTCTCCAGGTCCTCCGGTTTCCTCCCACTGCTAAAGACCCCTAGGCACAAGCGAATTATTGAAACCATGTGTTAGTCTCGAAATGACCTAGTTTGTGTCGAGTGGACGTTAAATCTCATCTCTCTCTCTGTCTGCTAAAGACCCCTACGTGCAAGTGAATTATTGAAATAAAATTGAACCATGTGTTAGTCCCGAAATGACCTAGTTTGTGTCGAGTGGATGTTATACCCTATTTCTCTCTCTCTCTCTCTCTTTCTCTCTCTCTTTTGTGTATTACTGTTAATAGCAGTCAAATACATTTTGTTCTTTGAATGTCCAGTTTAATTACTAAATGTTATTGAAAAAAAAAAAACTGTTATTAGCAAGTGGTGTAACGCATGCACTAATGTTGTGGTCTTGATCTGAGGCATAGGTAACAACAGGGCTGCCGACAACCACACATTTTGTCCGTTGCTAACCAAAAATTAAAATCTAACATTTTTGATTCGCAGTTACTGCGAATCATCAATATGCCTGTCATTTTGGATATTGACACAAGAATAATCCACATTTTAAAGACTAGAAGGCTTACTCAACACTTTCAACGTGTATAAAATGTTGAATAAAATTTTATAAACAAAACTCAATTCTCCGTGTGACATTTTCTTCTCAAACTACCCAGACACAATACTATATAACACATAACTCTATGAATAGGGACTATTAAACCGGAAATAGGGAATCAAGTAGTACCACTCACGTTGCGAGACATCAAGTAATTATATCATATTCATTTTGAAAGAAATAAATCCAATGTATCCCCCACGTATTGTAAATAAAATATAAAAAAATAAATACATGTTAACGTATTGTAAAATGATAAATCAAAGTAAAAATTCCCGTAAAACATTATTGTTTATATGGTGTGTGTCTAATTAATCGAGGTGTGTCCGATTCAAGAAAAATAGTAATACACGATAAAAAGCAGACGAAATTGTTTTCTAACGAAGATTTCTAACGTAACAAAAAAATAACAATTAAAATGAGTGGGGCTTCGGAAGTCACTGTCAAGAATTGGCTTCAGACATAAGACCTAACTAAATTTCTACATCACATTCACAAACTGTCACAAGTACTTGTGGCAGTTCTAAATAATCTAAGAATAGTCAGAATGGAATCTAATCATATTTGTTATGAATTAAAGTAATATCTTGTTATTTAGGTGTTTTACATTGAAACTGAAAAACTGCTAATCAATTTTTAAATTTGCTAATCAAATTTGACGAAATTGGACTTTTTGATTAGCAGTGCTGCTAATCAACTGTGAAAAATTACCGACAGCCCTGGGTAACAAGGAGTAAGGTTGTGTGCATGCATAACTTATGGGCTTCCTCTGAGTTCTCCTCACACAGCTAAAAACCCTGCATTAATACCATGTTAGTCCCAAATTTGGTAATGATTGAATGTTTAACCCATTCCTCTGCCATTATATTTTCAGCCCCTGCTGCTCAAACAGAAACTGTGTTAGTATGTAATACATGTTGCAAGATGTTGTCCTCTAGTAAAGATAGTGGTGTTGGTGGTGGTAGTGGAGACAAAGATAAAGTCAGTTAAACATCCAACAACTAGTAGTATAGAATATATGTACTTAAACCAGTGATATTATATACTGCCTGTTTGACAAAAGTCCCAATAATTACAATTTATATTGTATGTTTGTTTCTAGTTGTCAATGTTGTTTATGTGATTTATTTGTCAAAATGAGATGAGGCTGGGGTATGTCTTCTCCCTCAAGAACACTTGATACCACTTCTCATTTATATGGGAAATTCACATAATTAACAGTTTTGTTTTCATATTGTGTCTGCTACAACATGAAAAGCCTGCTAACAAGGCTAATGATGGATTCCTATTCCAGAAAAAGATATAATAACAATACAGACACCAGGCTATAAAATATAGCCCTGTTCTATGGTTCTCTAATATTGACTTAATAGGGTGATAGATTAACCAGGTTTTACTGTAGTTGTATTACTAATCAACAGGGATGTGTTTCACAAACAGTATGTAAAGTTAAATTAAACATACATTATGCAAGAGCTAAATCTGCCTATTGCAGGTCTTTCTTTAGGCCTGAAATGTTTTCTAAATTATTAATTAGACATTAATTAACTTATCCAGGCCATAATCAACTCTCGATGGCATCAGATTTCTCGAATATTAAATAGATTAGAACCGTTCAATCATATTTTGATTTAAGCTAAAAATGGAGGCACGAGACTTAGCTTCGAACAACCAGTACAGTGGTTGAAATTATTGCACACGTCTTGTCAAACCTTCAAAGGCTAATATCTTCGCTCGCAAATAGAGTAATTTGAATGAAATTTTCAAATTATTCATTTTACATTATCTATTTTTGAACTATTATAAATAGAATGGCTAGCTCTTTATCTAAATCTTACATAATGTATCTTTAATGTAATTTCAGTAGAGTAAATCGTCTTATGTGTGCTTTATAAAATGGAATCTATTAGACAAAGTGTATCTGCTTGACTTAATCAACAGATATTTTGAAATTAAGCTGAACAATTCCTATTAAACAAGGCTGTAAACCAATCCATATGATTATTCCAGTATATACACTTAAGCTTGGTGCCTGGTTTTTATTAGAATTTATCATCACAATTTTGTTTTATATTTTCATCTGGTGAACATGGTCCAATTTTAATTTTATTAATATGATGGAGATATTTTTATACACCCATATGACGTGGGAGTATATTGTTGCGACCTACATGTATACACAACCATCAATCCACGATTCTTGTATATGTCACAAGTTTTTTAAATCAAATATTTGTTTCATTTGTAGTATGTATACTATATACAAATACACACAGTAACTAAGAAATCTCAAAATTTGAATTTTTGGCCATTTTCAAACAATTTTGTGATTATAGCGGCGTTTATATGATACAATCAATCCATACAACCGTCGGATGCAACCGTCGCATCCAACCAACTGATCAGACAAATGGTCGGATGGACGGCTTATTGCATGGATAGGATCAGTTCTATTCTCATCCGACCAACTCATGCAATAGCCAATCAAAGTACGTTATATTAGACAACGTCATACGTCGTATGACGTCATATCTGACTTGGCAACCAGAATTCCTGATGAAAGATGTCTTCTCCTGTCGCTTCGGGTACTTTGATGTCCTCTAAAATGGATCTAAACCTATCCTGGACTGAATTAGAAAATCTAATAACTCTGTATAGGAAGCAAGGTTCTTTTGAACCTGCGGCATCAACACTACACGAAGACGGGTATGAGAAGTGTCGTCTTACTGGCATTTTATTCAGTTACTAAGAAGGAATAAATGTTGCCATGCAACGAATAGAACCATTGTATCGTGTAAACGGTCGTCCAATATGTTGCATCCGACGGTTGTATGGATTGATTGTATCGTTTAAACGCGGCTTTAATTTATTAAGTTTGAAAATTCAAATGTACAAATTGACTTTAACAATAAAGGGTCTATTAATGTGTTTTTAGAGACTGTATATTTATTTATGAGTGTTTATATTGTTAAGATGTTGTTTGTATTCTTTATATGGCAAACTATATGAATTTTTATCCACGTTTACTTAAGTTATATTTTAAATATTTACACACTGTTTTAGCACAAAAACATTTGTTTGGTTACAGTCTTATTGCACCACAACTAGTTAAGTAAGATATGTTTAATTTCAGACATGCATATTTCAGTGGTCCAATACCATATATATTTTTTAAGACTGTTTTTGAAAATTTAAACTGATATGTCGAGAATACTGTTTTTGTATTGGCTTAGTTCTTAGTCAATGGAAAGAATATCTTACTCTCAATTTTCTCGGAATCCTCCGCAAACTGTTTAAAAATTTTGCCATTTCCCATAAAAGTATTTATCGGGTGGTTATTTCCAATAAAAGTATAGTAATTTTGGTATATATGGAAAGTAGAAACATCCAATCTTAATAAAAAAATACTGGATTCCTTGAAAAGCACCCATGTAGCGTGCACAGGACAAAAATTAGAGGGTGTCACTAATTGGCAGCCTGACGATTAAGGGCTGCTTGCTCGAGTGATGTCAAAGGTTGTGACCTCTTGGCGTTAAAGAGCACTTGGTGTATATGTTGATAAACTTGATGGAAAACGGACGTGGACAAAGTGAGAGACTTAAACGTACAACAGTTTCTGATATAAAAACCACAGAAAAAGACGCGGGCAGGGGATAATCTGAGAATTTACTTAGACTTCAATATTTATGGTAAAAGAACAGCAATTAAAGACAACATCGTCTTTTATATGCAATGAATTCCCTGGCTTCACACCCATTGCTAGTTATTGCTACAGCCAATTCATGTGACACAAGTGTGACTTTTTTTAAATAGATTTTTTATAGCTAGGGGTATTTCTTTGCGAATACAAGGTTTTGGGAGATAACTGAAGCAAATTTTTGATGATTAATTAGTTTGAATATGTTTTTAGTCCAAATATATCATCAAATCACCCAATTTGTATGCAGGGAGATATCTTTAAGTTTGTATCTGTACTAACTAATATTTATTTCTAGGTCTGCTCAATGAAAGGCGCATACAATTGCAGTTATATTACCAGCAGTTAAATTTGACTGGTGTCATTAGTAAAGTTTATTTATAGTATTTATTTAGAACTACACAAACATGACAGTAACCTATGGTTTTTCTATACTCACACGGTATTGTTTTGTAAATATAAGTTATTTAATATTTGAATATATAAAAACTCATACAGCTTTTATAATTAATTAATCTTGTATATTATTTATTTGTCCATTTTAAAACTGTCTCCAACAAGTTGGGAGTTGGGACCATGCTGGGAATATTTAAACCAGCAAACATGACAATTAATTACTTCTTGATTAGATTCTAAGATTGGTTTAAATAACAAACATGATCATAATTTGTCATAGATTGTTTTTTTAAAATAAAAATCATGATCATAATTTGTTATAGAATGTTTTGGTTCAAACAATATTGTTATTCAATATAATTACATATAGTCATACTATTGCACAGTCTAAAGGATAATAATTTGTTATAGAATGTTTTAAATAACAAACATGATCATAATTTGTTATAGAACATTTTACATAACAAACATTATAATAATTTGTTATAGAATGTTTTAAATAACAAACATGATAATAATTTGTCATCATAGATTGTTTTAATTAACAAAAATGATAATAATTTGTTACAGATTTTTTTAAATAACAAACCTAATAATAATTTGTTTTAAATAACAAACATGAGACATCTATAATGTATTGTTTTAGTCTACAGTAAAAAGACAAATTTAATAAATATCAAAATACATGTAAAATATGGTATAGCTTAGATGTTAAGATTGCTCATTATATTATTAATAATATGAATACTGATCAAACTGTATTTATTTAAGTTAAGTTTAAACCTATATCAATGTAAAAAGTATTATTAAGCATCAAAGGGAATGATGCTGCTGAAGGTCTATATTGATATATTTAGGAAATATGAAGCATCATTTGTTCAGGTTAATAGAGCCTTCAATAAATGGCTGACTAACATGATTTGATCCTCTTTTAGGGCTTATTAATAGGGCTTGCATTTTGACCACCCCTCTAAATTTGCTGGGTATTAGAATTGCTTTGCAGTGGGCAAAAAATTATTTACCTCAAAGCTACATCTCGTTTAACTTCTACCGGACCGTTAATAAGTGATGATGATATATTCTAAAAAAAATACAAGACATGGTGAAAGTGATATGACTGAGGACAGATATTAATTGGCGAAGAAAAAATCACACTGTCCAAATGACAAGTGTTTACAGTCCAGTCAGCGTAGCAACCGCATCAGTACGCTACACAGCATATACACAATGACACAAGTGTATGGAGATTTATCAAACATAATATGCTATTTATTCCGAACCTACTAGTCACTTCAGGAGTTCGAAATCATTTAAAAAGTGAATAACGCGTCTTGGGTCCTAATGATCGCAGGACATGTCAATTGCACATAACAACCCTCTAAATGCGAAATAGGAAATGTTTATCTTCTAATATTTAATTGGCCATGCTTTCTTACACTAATGGAACAAGTTTGATAAATACAAAGGGTAATGTTGGGTTTTTTGGGGGGTGGAGGGCGAAGAGTAAAAATAAAAATTGTGGGAACAAGAATTTGAAATATTTAACTAGTTATTCGTATGGTTTTGTTACAACTAGATAGTTGATTGTGTATTTGTTTACGAATTGTTAATTTTAATAATTTTTATTGTGATGATAATTTAGTTGGCACATTGTGCAGCTACTATTTTCTGTTTAATTGTCAATTTTTATAAATTTACAGACATTTTGCTGCTTTCTAGTCATAAAGCTATACACCTGACAATTGCAGTCACAGTTTTATTATTATACATTTGTTTTGTATAACAATAAAAGCCTTGATTTATTTTTGCTAAATAAGATACATGTTATGGTGTTGCAGTTTATATTAATGCTAATATGTATATAACTATATGTCCACTTCATCTTGTCAGTTTCACATAATACCATAGGTAAAATGATCAGGGCTCAGCCTATTAAGAACAGTGAATATACAATACATATTGCACATGCATTGCATGCAATTTAGTCTGTGTGCAAGAGGTGAATCACTGTATCCGCATACTTTATTATCCCCAATTCTTCTTGCGTGAGTTGCCTTTTCAATTCCAATAATCAGTCTTCGATTCTTATATACTTGTGACATTTCTGGATGGTGGCTGTCCCGTACTGCATTGAGAATCTTTATCTCTGTTATATCTTGTCCCCTGATTAAAGATATACACATTATTTGTCGCTAGTCTGGGAAAAAGAAATAAACCAACCAAATAAAATTATAAACGCAATTTAAGTGAAATATTAGGAAAAGATCCTCTTAACACCATTAATTGGCTTGTAATGACAACAGGTGTTCATCAAAGAATGACGATGGATTTCACACTACACCTTTTTGCGCATTTTGTACTTTTAAAATAACACCGATATGCGAATACACCTTTTGATTTTGCTATGTTAGATAATTAATTTGAGTTTATTTTAAAATGGATTAAGCCATGAAAACTGCAAAGGATGATCAGCACCTTTAAGTATATGAAAAGTTTTAAATCAAACTGAAATCAAACTGTGATTGCAGATAATGTTTTACTAAGATAGATTATATTAGTCTTAGTTCAATTAATTCAAACTAATCTCTGTGATAAATTTATTATGTCTAGCTACAATATTAATATATTATAATCTTTTAGAGGCATTTAGTAACTGAGTAGAGCAATTATCTATAACCCATACTGATGGAAAAACAGCTACTATATTTGCCTCATGTTTTTGTATTACTGTATTAGCTTGATAATGTTGAGAGAATACACTTCGAAACATCACCCAAATAATAAAGTAGCTGCTTTTCCATAAGTATGTGTTATTAATATATTAAGAAAATACATGTACACAAAATGTATTTGATTTTATTTATGAAAACCTTTTAGTTTTGTAAACTTATTAAAATGTGTTACTTTGATGTTTCAAAGGCCAATGTACATTAGACTATCATATTGTTTTTTCAGCAGATTTATTTTTAGAGAAAATCTAAAATAAGATTCTTGTTGTACCCTTGCTCAAGGCAGGGTATGCATTCTCTTTTTCCAAATACCGGATACTACATTTATTTTGGGAGTTACTTAGCTAACACTTTTTGTTGTACTGTATTGAAAAACATTGATCTTTCGATTTTTATTCTTTGTTTTGTTTTCTTTGGTTTTGGTTTTAGAATGTCTAGTCTGCTAATAAAGTCCTTACTGGTGGTCTTTTAGTCTGTTAGTGTAAATGAAATATTAGTTTACATTTTTGTAATTATGTGTTGGATATTCAATTTGATAGTTATTAGCAATTTAGAGTAAATTAATATTTTATATGAGGAATATTAAAGCACTGGGTATTTCATTACTTTGTGGCATAAATTTTGATGTGACAGCAAGACATATTGGCATTTTGAAATAAGGAATACCCCAATATATTTATTTAGGTTAATGGTCACATTTAGGTCAGGGTTATCACCATTTAAGATTAATATTTTAACCCTTGTATATAATGTCAAGGTCATACGAAAACAGGCCAGGTTATTTTTTCGCCTACACCCTTTATGTAATGTTGAATGTTTATTTTCTTGTTTTTAGCATATTTTGATAGCCATTGATTGGTTGAATTGACCAGTTTATTTACTATTTATATGTTTGTTATCTGAAACTTGTCAGTATGTTTAATGTTATATGATCTAATGTATACCGGTATTGTTTTTTATCCTATAAAATCACAATATAAATATTTCAAGCATGGATTGTTGTTTTGGGTTTTTTTTCATCATATATAAGGACAGCAGATATTTTACATATGTTGATTTTTGAATTCCAACCATCAGCCATTTGGGGAGCCACAATGGCTCATGATAGTGGTGCAGGATGTGACGTGCAACAGTGTCTAGTTGTTTGGATGGGACATATGACCATTTCCTGTGTACATGTTGGCATGCACATTAAAGGACTCTTAACTTCAATGAAGAGTAGGTAGAAACACTGCTGTCCAGGTGTATAACAGCCTTCATTAGCCAGGCTAGTGCAGAAAAGTAGAACACTAAGCCACATTTTATTTTTGTCACACGTTTCTTGTAGTGTACACAGATTTGTTCACAAGTGAACCTTGGTTTTCCACTTAACACGCCTCCACAAAATTGAGTAAAGACCCTGCTGCAGCTCCAATTTTAAACTTACACTGCTGACACTAATTTTAGACCTAGCATGGCCAGCTGTATTTTTCGAGACACAATAGGGGTCTGACAAGCTCCTGTTTAATACTGTAGCTTTTTTGATGACTAATTTTAATCAAAGACTAGTAATTGCTTCCCCTTATCCACTGTTTATAGCAATTCTCTCTTTCTCCCTTTTCCCCAATTTCCATAACAATGGTTGTTGATTTTAAGATCTACGATCAAAGAAGAGTTTTTGAATTTACATTCACTGTCAGGTTTTGGTGAATATTCATGATTTTGCGGTGGCAGGATCTGGAATGAAACATACTGGTAACAAGAATTAAGGAAATCATGTACAGAGCCTATAGATTTCTTTGACTGGACACAGCAAAAAATCAAGATGGTCAACCCCCTTTAATACTTCTATCAGATGATTATGACATTTTGTGATTATATAGACTGTGATCATCCGAATTTTCAAATGAATGTTATAGGCCAAGAAATGTCATAAATAGTTTAACATTGAAGTCAATGGGGAAAGAATTGCTAGTCTGAACCAGTGGGTTGGGATAAGAAAATCGAGTTAGTTCCCTTTAAATGATTAGCGTCTATTATTAACTAGATCATTGGTATGCGGCTTTTTCTCAGATGTTTTGATTTTTTTTAGGCGTTGTTTTATCGCGTCACACACACATTCAGCTTTAAAATACATATGGATTATATAATTTTCAACAATGTAAAAAAAGGCTTATGGTAGTTTGTTTTTCCATTTTGGAATCAATCATCAGACAACTAACAATCGTTTTTCCTTTCATTTATGAAGAACAAATTTTACAAAACTGACAATGACGTCATATCCTGTTTGTGTGGCGATCGCCAAGCTGTATCGAAATAACATCCACTAAAATCTATTTTTGTTATATTACAAAATATCATACAGACGTTGTCATATTGTTCTCAATAAAAGCTGGAGCTAACCCAATAGGAAAATTAAACTATTGTTTATCCGTGTAAGTAAAGGGTTTGGTAATCTCATTGAAAAATGTGTGGGTTCATTTTTTTTTATTTCACTTTTCAGTCAATCTCAATTTCAGAAGAAAAAAATGTTTTCAAGCTTTCTTTAGATCTACTCCTCGCGAGTTCCAAATCATAACATCGACATCTGTTTCTCTGTGAATTCAGTTATCATTGTTTGAAAATGACTTCAATCGGAAATTGTAAGCCGACAGCTGTTCTGCGTGTTCTGTCATACTCATAGTGTCAGTTTGACGGCCAGCTAAAAACTGTTATAACTGATTTTTGTTTTTAGCTATGATTAATATGATTGGATGCCTTTACTGCCTTCAGTTCCACTTGACAAACTAAATTTCTTTATTAATTTAATAGTATCTTTACACATACACGGCCAAATTAGTGAGACATAACTTTCGTTTATCTGCAAATATTTTCAGTAAAGTTTATCAATCAAGCAGTGTTTTTAACCAAATTGCAACGCATCAGCATTGCCTACATAGTACCATCTCTGTAGACTACCATAGATATCCTATATATTTCAGTACCGCTGAAGGGGTTGTTATTGCGATATCACTTTAGTGGAAGCGGACATTTGAAATAAAGCTATTTCACAAACAAGGGGTCGCTGTCAGCTATAATGCTCCAGCCGTCTTCATTAGCCCAGTTGGAGCAGAACAGTAGGATGTTAAACCCCATTTCATTTCACTATAGTAGTACAGACAGACAAGTATGACCTATGTCGATATGTTCAAGTCTGGACTGCGTACCCTTCAGTTCAAAGACAGTCAAACAGGGATTGATGATTCTCCATGCTAATATTATCATAATGTTTTCATTTATAGTTGAATAAACCAAAAAGATATGAAGTTGTTTTCTTTATCTGTATCGTATAAATCACCTGATGGAAAAGTTCAGCAACTTAAATGTGCCCATGAACTTTCTTCCTTTGGTTATTTCCAGAGAGGAAGGTAAGGTTATGATAATTATTGAATACAATTATGAGATAAATAACAGAACATTAAACTTAATGCAATCTAAACTGTATGTGTTATTAAAAAAGTAAGCTTACTTATCAAGAATTGGTTCACCGTATTAATTAAAAGCACTTACTGTTGAATTGATCATGCCATATTTTAGCAATCCAATAAGTGTATAATTTTAACATGTGTATTTTTAGCATCAGGGAGTTTATGGAATTTACAAGTAAGATTATAGTTGAAAGAACAGCAGTTTGTTCAAGGGCATCTGTTAAGGAACAAGGTATTGCATTATGTCATTTAAAAAACATATTAAAGAAAACTGTGAATGTTTTACGCACAACAAAAATTATTATCTATGTCGGCTTCCCAAGGGATGTTGTGCTTTCCACAAAGTGTAAGCATACTTCTTTCTTTACATGACACCTGTAGACTAGAGCCTGGAGCATTTCACTACATACAAATTAGAGCAATGGTTTCCCACCTTTTTCCACTAGCAGACTCATTCAGACATTGTACAAATTTACGGGGGCCTTAAACATTTGTATTTACTCTTTTCTGTCAGATTTCCAATATAAAGGGCTTTAAAACTGGTCACAATTCACATAAATCTATGATAAACTCTAAAATGGACCATCTTGATCTGAAACATTAAGTTATGAAACAAACATGAATGGAATATGTATTTTGATAACACATCATGATAACGGGGCACTTCAACAAGTTGGTATCAGCTGCTGAAATTCATACCAATACTTTCTGATTGGGTAACTCTGAATTAAAAGAACAGTATAGAACTGCATATTAATATAAGAAAATATTAATAGCTTTCTATTGATCACTGAAACAACTACTAAGTTACGTGTTGTTTTTGTTATAAATAAATGATATTTAATTATTCGTTTCAGATTATATATGTCATGTATCAGTCCGCAGTGATAATTTAGCTGGTGTTGTTATAGCAGATCATGAATATCCTCAGCGTGTTGCTCATACATTAATTAATAAGGTAATAAACATATTCATTAATTTAATGAATTTAGTAAAGTAGTTGTTATGCAGTAAACGACAAGTAGAGCAAAAATCAATCAATTTGGACACACACTGTCTCTAATGATTGATATTATTAGCAAATGTAAATGGTTGGATGACAGGGAGAACTATAGAACATAAATATAAGGTTTTGTCAGATAAGGTCTACTCCTAAAATTAACCTAAAAAATTCAGACTTGAGAGCAAAAACCATTACAATAAGAAAACGAATAGAAAAGAGAGAGCAAACATTTGTTACCCAAATACATGTTTTAAGACAAAGCTCTTATTGATAAGTCTGTTGATGTCAGAATACATAAGGCTGAGTTTACCCTTTTTATGCACCATATAATATGGTATATTATACCAATTATCAGTATAAGATTTGACACCTGTTTTACACCTATGATAAACATTTTGCTACAAGAAGTAAATGACATTGCCATTCTCTGACTTGATAAAATTATTGTGTAACTTGTATAATATTCTTTTAATTTACATAGGTTTTAGATGAATTTAGTTCAAAGATTTCCAAACAACAATGGCCAGTTTTAAAAGAAAGGTGATTAGATTGATTAATTATGCTTTTGTTTAATTTTTCTGGTTTTAATGGCTAATCTTTTAAAGTTTCATTTCATGGATGTTGATTTCTACTAATCTTGACTAATTGTATTTCACCTGAATTTTGAAATGTCAACCATTTTCTCTAGGTTCAATGGATGTCGACCTCTACTAATTTTAATTTAACATTGATTTTGAAATGTTAACTGTTGAACATGTAGTTAACTTCGCGTTATATTTAACTGAGGTGTTGGTCTACGTTATCTGTTTAATGATGGCATTAGTTGGCTGTAGCAAAAAGTCATAGATTACATTGTACCTATGTAATTTTCTATAAAATTCTAGAGGGTTGGGCGATGCGGGCCTATTTCATTTTCTATAGGATGAAATTCTATACTATTTTACAGAATTTTGGAGGCCTGTAGGAAATAATGGCCCCATAATTCTGTAGTGCAAATCCCATAATTTTTCCTACAGATTTATGCTAAAATTTCTAAATGAAAAATTAAAGTATTCTATGGTGTATTCTGTAGTAAATTCTAGTTATCTTTTTGTCTTTAATCAAGTTTTGTGAACAGACTGCAGTTTGTTGTCTCACTGTCTTCAGTTTCTTGTTAATACTAACTTCTATGAAGTTGTTATACATGTACATTGAATTCAAAAATTTAAAATTCAGCCAATGAACAAACAGTGTTCTCTTGGATTAACTTTAATGAATCCGTTAGCTAACGGATAATGAAATTGACTTTCCAGCAACAGAAATTTAACGGACCGTTAACAAACGACAAGTTACCAAGATAACGATCGGTTAGAGTTTAACGGATCGTTAAAATAACTTAGTTTTGAGCAACCGGCCCAGGTCTACCTATTGGTCTAAAATTTTAAGAAAGCATATAGACTTATAAACCATGTCTCAAAACAAAATCGCCAGATCACAGGTCATGTTATTTAAAGATACCTTCATTAATTTGTCCAGAAAAAGTCTTAACAAAATCTAGCGTTTATGTAGATTAATAACCATTTTCTAATCTAAACTAGTGCATGACTTAATTACCATTTGTAAATCTTTTCGCATCCTTTTTGGTGAATCTAAAGATATTTTGCATTTCAGTGCTGTTTTTGTTTTTAAAGTTGTGTTTACAGAGATAGAATCTGCTGATTTATTACTAGTTAATGCTATTCCTCTTGAAAATCCATTTATTACATTGAATGCTTGAAGTAGTTTTACATTAAATAAATCTGTTGTCTCAATTTTGATTTAATTTTGTTCATGTTTTTTTTTAAGTGAAGTCAATTTTACCACATTACCAGACTACTTACAGAAATATCAGGTCTGTCAAACATTAAAATCTAAAAATTCTATGGTAGGTCTTCAGTAATATGAAGTTCCCCAGGTGGGCTTTTGGGCTGAAAAAAATCTGTTTTCCCAGAATCAGTAAAATAAATTGGGTCAAAGCTCCGAATGACTATTATATCACTTTAAAATCCACTTAGGATTGTTGAGTCTTTGCATTCTGGATAAAAGATAAATGCGATATCCATGAACTTATGTTGATAAACAAGAGACTATCGATATGTTGGTATAGTTAGATTGCATCAGACCAAAAATATTAATGTTTCTTTATACTTGACGATTCCCCCACAGATTTTCTCTCTAAAGAAATAGCAGGGAGACCTTTTCATTATGTATAAAATACAATGATAAATATGACTATATTGTTTCTTTTTTGTAGAATCCTAAAGAATCTGATGCTATGACTAGAATACAGTCAGATCTGGATGAAACTAAAATTATCTTGGTAAGTTTATCAAAACAAACGAAAAATTAACCTTGTTAGTCTGAATATGAGCATCATTCTCAACAAAATGTAAAACATCTGTTTCGCCAATCAATTAAAGAGCATTCAAGTATATAACTAAGAAATTGTTCATAAGATTATATTGTAATTGATGATGGTATTCTTCAATAAGCTTGTCTATGTTGTCATTTTCAGTACAATACGATGGAATCAGTTTTACAAAGAGGTGAAAAACTGGATGATCTAGTAGAAAAATCTGAAGGTTTGAGCACCCAGTCAAAAACATTCTATAAAACAGTAAGTATAGTTTTACCACTTTTTTTTTTCAGTATATTAAATTACCATTATTGATTCGATACTGTACCTATTTGGTACTGAAGTGTATGCCTTTCAAGTGGACACCCATGTATATTCCATACAAAATCTATAGGAATGTTGTATGACATGGATCTTTTCACACATATATCTCATAATTGGGATCCTGATACTATTTGCTATATATTATATAATTATAAGTACACGAGGGGTATCTGATTATCGTCTATCCCCATACCTTCAAAAACATGTCCAACTGTGCAGGGAGTTGAGGACGAAGTCTTCTTATTTCAATTCCAATTTTTAAAAGAAATTAAAATGACCCTTTTCTGACTTGTTGAGTAAAGTGTCACTTTTTTTTTTTTTACATATATTAAATATTTCATAATTTTCTTTCTTTCAGGCCAAGAAGACAAATTCCTGTTGTGTAATATTATGAGCCTATGATTATTTTATTTCCTCCATTTCTCTATCAAGTTTAAGATATCATGTCTGGTAGTTGTCTGTATCAGACAAATATATTATAAATTACCAAAAACTAATAAAACAAACAAGTCAACAATCTTGGCTTAGTTGAACAAACAGGTCAATAATCGTGGCTTACTAGAAGCCTTTTGAAAACCCTGGTGTATTCAAATTGCTCTTTTTGCTAATACTAAGCTTTGAAGTATGATCATATTACCAAATCTTTCATTGAATTGCAATGTTTGTGTACATAGAGTATGTATGTACGAGTTAAATATAGAATGAACACAGTTGTGTTTAGGTTTGTCGTCTTGATAAATAGTGTTTTCTTCTGACTTCATTTGAAATTGTAGCAATTTTTATTGGAACTGATTTGAAAACTTACAAATTTGAAAACTTTACCACGCTATCTTTTCTGACAAAAATTATCCAAAATATGTAATAATTGTAGAATATATAATTTTTTCTTTTTCTTAATTTTTTTCTGTTTTAATATTTATAACAAGTTTTCAGACTCATTGTTAAAATCAAAACATTTTCACCTTAGTTATATTTCTCATCTGATTGTTAAGACTATTATTTTGTGTCTTGGTGATATTTTCTAAAACTATTATTCCACAAAATAAGAGGAAATTGTCTGGTTACAGATTAAAAGGCTAGGACATTGCTTGTTAAATTCTTTGTATTTAGAAAAAAAACATTTTTGCACACTAGAAGTTGATATAGAATATCAATTACTGGTTTAGACCTGAAATGTTATCTAAATTATTAATTAGACATTAATTAACTTATCTAGACCATAATCAACTCTGGATGCCATCCTATTTACTGGATTTGAATCAATTTTGTGATGGATGATTTAACGTCAAAATGGATAATCGAGACATTGTTTTTATCGTACCGACTTCAGTAGTGATGATTGAGACTAGGCCTAAAATTCAATCGCTAATATCTTGGTTCAGAGTAGAGCAATTTGAGTGAAATTTTCAGCATATTCTCTTTACGTTACCTATTTTATAATTATTATAATCTCCCATAATGCCCCTTTAACATGATTAGTTAAATTATGTGACCATGTGTTTTGGAACACTAAAATTTAAATATATTCGTTCCTTTTCCAGTAGGTACAAGTTAGGTTTATATGTGATTTTAACGTTTGATTCCATAGTCTCAGACTCCATCTTAAGATTATACAGGTGACTGCAAAATAAGTAGCCACTTAACATTTCTTAAAAATACAACTACATGAATAACATTTAACAGTGTAATTGCTTATTTTAAATTATTCAGTATTTAATTTTATGTTTCTTCATAACTTTGTTTAACATTATCTCTTTATTATTATTTGCATTTTGTGTTTCTTAATAAATTTATTTAATATATGTATTTAACCGATACACTGTAATTGCCATTTTCACAATATTTAGCATTATTCACATTATCCTTATAATTTCACAACAAACAAATAATGACTTAAAATCTTTGTCCGCCATTTGCATTTTTAGGAATATTGTCGTAAATGTATTCAAATATCAATAGTACACAATTTCCTGGCTTGAATTCAGTCAGATTAAAAATGAGACCAATCATAATATTTAAGTGAAAATCATAGGTTGCTCTGGCTGAAATTCCCTTTAGAGATTCAATTTTCACATGACAATCAGAGACTTTATTAATTGATAAATAAATGGGAAACAGTTTTGTAATACAACTAAAACTGTACTAAAATTATAAGGGTCAATTTTGATCTTATGTAATTGTCTCGACACCCAGTCAAGTTCAGTAAAATATAGTAAATGTATTATGAACACTTGACATTGTAGAATTATATTTAATTATGTAAGTTATATACATAATAATTATGTTAATACTTTGTCATTTAATGTCTGGTATGAACAAATTGAATATTTCTACATCTATTTATATGTCTGAAATGAGGGTAATACGGCATGTGTTTGAATTTAATATATCATAGTGCTGAAAATCACTACAATATGCTTGTCAAATGTACGTGTGATTTACATGCATCCAATAATCTTATTAAATGTATCATTATGGCTTGTCTGCATGTGTACGTACAGTTGAAAGTTTTGGTGTAATTTATGATTCTCCCGCAAAAAGTTTTGTGACATTGGACGAGAACACAATATTCAGTCATTGGTTGTATACAAAAATACCTTTTCTTTGCCAGATAATTTTAATGGATCCTATTTTTAAGTTTTAAAAAAAACCCTCCAATTATCGCATTTTTTTGGGAAACGAAATTCTTGTAGCCACTGTGTATGATGATGTCCCTTTTGTATGGCAATGTCTGTTACAACATGTTATTTCATCTTAAGAGTAAGTTGTACACTTTCACAGCTAGCAGAAGTGTGAATTATACCGAGAATGTGATTACATTACATGTAAATATAATATAGACGTCCAAATATAATATGCCAGTTTGTATTACTAGAAATAATGAAGCATGACGATTTTATTTGTAAATCTGAAGAATAGTGTATTTTATTATCTTTACAGTACATGGTATTACAAAATATGAAAACTGTTTATGTGCAAGAACATCCATATGCATTGATTTGTACCATAACTATCAATGATGTGATTGAAATTGCTAATTGTACAACATTCACACAATTTCTGTGATAGATCCAAATCGATTACCGGTAACAGAGATATTGGATGTATGACACAATACCTTGATATTCTGAAGATGGTATTTTATGTGAACTATATTTTCCATGAATCCATGTGGGAAATAGTAATTTCATTTCAGTAATGCCAACAAGGCAATGAACTATCTGAATATTAATTTATCATAATAGTAGACTTTTCTATTTATTTTGAATCTGAATACAAGTGTAACCCACGGGAGCATGATCAACCTATGCTGTATAATAGAATTCTATTTCTTTTAACATCTGAAAATACATTAATCAACAATTTAGAAATATTACAAAAATCTTCAAACATGTAATTCATTTGAAGAAAGTTAGTTTTTCACAATGTCAAGGTATTATCACATACTTTAGCTGACATACTTGAAAAGTGAACCTGCTTGTGGCTTGATAGGGGCATGCAGAGCTTATTAACCAATTAGTCTGGACCCAATCAGGCTATTGACCCAACCTATTGTTTGACTTCTTGATATATTCACTAATCTCAAGGCATCAGAGGTATGTCATAATATCAGGAAATTGTTAAGATACACATTTACATGTACTTGGGTATTGTAGATATTTATGACTTTGTGTATGAGCTATTTATATTCCCAAATTATATTTTATTATTCCCCAACATACTGCTACATGTAATATGTAAAAGTTTTGTTTAAATGTAATATTGTGTAATACAGAATGTATGCCTTGTAAATACTGTAATAAATTGTCTTTGTCAAATTCATTTGTAACATTTTGGATGGATGAAATGCCTAACAACAAGAACAATTAAAAAAAAAAAGACAAAATAACTTTGGTCTAAGTTCTTCTACATACCTGATATTATTGGTTGTGTGTAGTTATTTCTATCATGTCAAGGGTGTATTCAGGAATTTGAGCTGGGGAAGGGGTGTGTACATGTATATGATTCGAGTGGAGCAAGCCCAAAACGGTGGCAATGCCTTGCACATTTGTCATTATTTCAATAAATGTTGGAGAAAAAGATATGCTCTGTGTGAACGGTTCCCTCCTCTAGACACAAATTCATCATTATTGCAACTCTAACATTGATTTTAGTCAAATTTCTGTAAGTTTCATTTATACATGGTTATAAAGAACCACAACACCAGTAGTATTCTCCATACATGCAGGTTATCAGAGACCTCTCTCCATTCCATCTGCTCTGAATGTCGGAATACACATTTGCAGTTCAAAAACAAAGGAGTCCAGGCAAATATCTCCTTTCACAATAGAAATAACAAGCCAACAGCGAGACTGATAATTTTTGTTGTTCCAGTGTTCACAAGGTGCAATAAAGTGAAACAAGGACCATAACTACAGAAGAAATTATTGAAATTAATAATAGGCTTCTTTATCTCACTAATGTTAACATATCAATTTCAAAACGATCAAATGATAAATGTAGTCTGTAGAGTGTTCACAAGAAATTATGGAAGACGGAGGCCACGACAATTTACCACCACATGCCAATTTACCACCACATTTCCACATGGCCGTATACAAAGCAGAAAGTGCTATCATCTAATGCAGTCAAGGCATTAACTTAATACATTGTAAATACCTATACCAAGTTCGAACATTCTACCTCAATTACAAGCAGAGTTATTGTGTTCTAAAAGTCTGACAGACAGGTGGTGGACATATGAGAGAGAAATGGGTTTACGTCCACATGGCACAAACTAGGTCATTTTGGCACTAACATATGGTTCAATTTTACTTCAATTATTCGATTGAGCGTAGGGGTCTTTAGCAGTGGGAGGAAACTGGAGAACCAGGAGAAAACCCACTGGGTTGGACAGGCGACCCTACTCCTTGTCAAGAACAACCGGAGAATTACACCTACGAGCTAACCATTCAGCCATCCAACTCCCCCAAATATTACCATATGATCGAGGTATTGTGTTGAAGAGACATTAAATCCCATTCCATTCTACAGTTCTTCAATACATTTTTCTACGTAAATCGCTCTTAAAATTGAGGATACAGAAAACATCCAACAAAAAATCAAGTAACGAAAAAATTCTTTATTTCTTGTAATCTGTTTTTACTCCCGACCACAGATATAAGACATATGTGACTGGATGGAAACATTTAAATTACACGAACTGTTTAATTTTAATCTAATTCATTAATAAGACACATAATATAACAAAAAGAAACAATGGGTGAAAATATCGTAACTTTTATCATTTTTACAAAAATATTTAATTTTTTACTGCCATTTTATTTTTTAACCATAATCATTTTTAAAATATGAACACCATTTCATAAAATAGTTTATTCATCAAATATTTATATTGAGGTAACATGTATGCAGACAAGTTTGTAATCGTTGCTGAAACTAATCTAAATACTTTTCAGATCGTTTGTAGCTATATTAAAGGCTCAATGCGTCCTTTAGTGTTATAGGAATCCCTTGCAAACTACAGTATTGGGAAAGTTTAATCTCTAATAGGAATATCAGTGCAAAAATAGTTTATTTCTGTTCAGTATTTACAAATTTCATTTATTTATGCTGCATTAATGTAACAAGACACCGCCATCTTTAATTGGTAGTGGAGAAATCCCGACAGTCCTAGTTAAAATCCAATTGAATCCAAGCCAGGAGATTAGCATTGGTATTTTGATTTCGTTTTCATAATTAAATGTTAAATAATCAATCTGAGTACATATTTAGCGTATATTAGGCCGTGAGAATTTCATATTTTAGTGAAAATGCAAATGACGCATCGAGCCTTTAAGGCTTGTATGATGGAAAATAAATGTTATTGAAAATGGTTTATATCATTTGTGGCTATGTTCAATGATGTCTGTTCATTATAACTACATGTACTTGGGCTTTTTTACAGGGCTTGGTCTAAAATTTCTTTGGTGGAATCCAACCATGTATCATAAGAATAAAATATTAGAGCTTTAGTATTAGAAAGGCCAAACAAACTGGGTATTTTCTGATTTATGCTTACAGATAGAATTGGTTTATCCATATCAATATTTTTGATGAAACTAGCCTGGGCATTATAAACTAAGAGACAGACAGATTGAGTGATATAAGTCCATATCAAGGACACCTGAGGCTGATTATAATCTAAACTAACTTTATTAAATAATGTCTTCTTCCAGTATCATACGATAATTTATAAGCAACTTAAAGTTTTGCTTCGTCAAAGTATTGTTAAGCAGTATTTATTTCAGCAATTTGTCAGAATTTTAGAAGTTTAAAAAAGTTTGTAAATTATGTTTAACTACATTTTTTAAGATTTTTTTTTTTTGTAAACTACAATTTTTTTCAAACTATTTTATTCTAAGTATTCAACATTATTTAATAAAATTCTAACAACTTTAAGTAAAAGGAGAAATTTTCATTTAAAAATAATTAATTTGCTTTACCAGGGATTCCCTACAATAAAAATTATGGCCGACGATCCAACTGTCTCTTTCTGACATGACATTTTTTTTATTAAATTATGGAACCCCATAAATGCATTCAATTTTTCAAATTCATTGATGAGATTAAATAAAGATTCCATGTTTATATCTCTTTGACATATTTAAATGAAAATTGCCCCTAGTACCTGACCATATGTACACGTAGATCTACATATTACATATGTTTTCATCCATGAACAATAATAATATAATACAGGCATGATTTATTTAATCATAGTAAATAATAATAACTATATACATATAGAGGCTCTGTCAGAGTGAACATAATAGAAAATAGATCAAGGATAACCGATCAGATACTAAATTCATATACGGGTAAACAATTTTTAATGAGGCTATAAATCAAGCCAAGACTCATTCCACCAAATAGTTTCTCCTTACTCTTCTAGAACACTTGATGTCAATCCTCAAGTATCTGAACTTATCTAACAATTCCAATAGTACCTTTTTAAGTTTCTTTCTTTTTGCAAATTTTGCAACCTTTCATTTACCATGAATATTGGATTTTCATAAATTATGTCCAAATGACAATATCAATGGTTCTGGTTTTCAACTATTTCAACACCCTAATGGAGCCTCTATGTAGTTTAGAAGACATGAAATGGTTTATAAATGGATGAATTATATTTACAATTTAATTTGACTGATGTATATATAAGTTATCTTACAATATGATGAGTGTAGGGTGGGTTAAATAAACATATACTCTGTAGAAACACAACAACTCTATTATTGTCAAAACGTCCAACCAAGGTGTTTATCAACTTAACCTCAGATTTATGCAGGAAAAGTTTAAAGAACAATGTCCTTCAGAGAAACGAAATATTGTTAAATTGTCAGAAAGGGTTTCAAGGTTATTATTGTTCACCGGTAAATATGTTTTACATAGAAAATACATTTTAGTAATATCTATGTATTTACAATGCTCTTACACATGCATGTAAATTGACTGATCAGATCTTTTCATCAGCAATCCAGTATTAGTCAAAGCCATCATGCAAGGCAGTACAAGTTATCAAATACCAAACATTTAGGATAAAATTCATAATCTCCTTGACAAAAGATTTTTGAGCTGAATAATTTCTACAGAATATAGGAATCACAGTTGGCTAAAAGGACAATATGACCTTGTTACTATGAAAATAGTGGTATTGTTGCAATGGTGACATCTACAGATGGATGTTAAAATGCTGATTTAACAAATTGCTAATTCTAAAACTACAAATATTTGTGATAAGGATCTAAAAACATTAGAAAATGTTTACCAAACTATGGCTATATGCAAGTGAAAAAGTTAGCTTTGAATAGACAATTTAAATACCGAACTAAACAAACAAAGCTACCTTTGTACAAGGATGTAATTAATAATGCCTTGATTTTAATACCAAAAGTAAGTAGTTTTATCGCAAAAAAAAATAAAAACCATTAAAACTTGGTTAATTAACAGCATGTACAAGTAAATTGGTTTTTAGATATCACAACTATTTCTAGTTACCTTCCCTTGATTTCAATGGCCATAATGAAATTCAAATCAATAAAATCCTATACTACTGTTTGAATGTATTCAAGTCATTACAATTCTTTTCCAAAACATATCCCTCCACGAAAACTTTCATACCAATATATCATACAGTATTTGTCAGCCATGGAAAATATGTTCTCCAAAATTCATTTTGATATAACACTAAGTACAACAATGATGTTAGAGTCATAAGGGGAGGTAATTCACAACATGGCAAGCAACATACAAGGTATTAATTGTTTGTGAGTTTTTCTTGCAGTTTAAATAAGGTCATCACTGTATGACAATAATTCATAATATTTCATTAAGAACTTCTTAATAATTCAAAGATCGTTTTTATTAATTTCATAAAACAAAATATTCAAATCCCTGTCTGAGAAAAGTCAAGCAATTTACATGTAGCATTCTTTGACGTAATTCATAAAAATACAAATAAGTCAAAAATCATCGGCTTGAGTTAAAATTCATTTGATTTAGCTGCTTTATAAGAGATGCATTATTGAGATATGACAACTTGCTATTAACACATGCTGCCAAGACTTGCCTTTAAAAAACAAACATTGAACTCCAATCAGTAAAATATAGTTTCTTCAATTAAATCTTAATTCATATATTTTTGTTCAGGATAAAATCTGATTTTTTTTTGTATAATTCGAAAATAACTCTTTGTTCCTTTTATCTTTTGTGTAAAAATATTGTTTTATCTTTCCTCCCTTGTAGTCTTATGTCATCAAAAAACAATCAACATCTCTTCCCTGAGTAGAAAAATTAAACTTAATGTTTTTCAATTTCATCCATGTCGAGGTCTTTTAAAGGGAAAATAACTTCACGATCTTCATCAATCTGGTTGTCATGACAATCGCAATCATCCAATCCACTGTCAGCTAAGAAATCGACAGGTTCCTGGTAAGCTGCACTTTGAAATGCACCCCTTCCCGTTGGTGTTTGTTGCTGTTCAGACTGTGAGACTTCATCGATAGGACTTGTAGGAAAATTATCAAGTCCCTTAAATGGAATGTCTGTATCCAGTGGTGAACTGGCAATTGGCACAAGTCTCATTACAAGGTCATTATCATCTCTATCTCTGTGTGACCGTTTCTATAAAATAAAACACAAGGGCCATGAACAGAGAAGCTATGAAAACATAGGATGTCTTTCCGACATCTCTCCATGTGAATTTATCTACTGCAATGTTGAAATACTTGGAAGAAAATTGGCTTCCTCGTAAAAGAACCCTTGACAGTCTGAATTTGAAATAAGAGTATGCCGTAGTATCACATACTCCTCGCAGTGTTTCGTTTGATTAGAGCCAATCCCACTAGTCACTGCTGTAAAGAAAGCAAATTCTTGTTCCAAATTATGACTGGTCAATAGTCTGATTAACAACCAATAGCTAACTGCGTAAAAATATAATTACGCTTTCAACAGATCTCCAAATTGGACCAAATATGTTTACATAACGTTACGTCATGACTCACGATTTTATTATGCCCAGTTAACCAGTGCATATCAGAATATTGCAGAAAAACTAATTGTGTGACAAATGAGGCTATCAACACGGATATAATGTAAACAATATTGTTTTGAGACAAACAACACTGTTACCGTTTTTAATACCTTAAATCACTGTCCAAAGTTTAAGGGAAGACCCTAGATTAAACAAAGGGCTGTCATGTTGCTGTGCTTGGGGATAGATTTGATTGAACGGAAAGAATAGACACACTCCCTCAAAAACGCAAGTATCAGAAGCTAATCCAGCAAAGCCAGAGAGGGATTTCTCAAGCCATTGCTTCAGGAATATGTAGTATCGCTGTCTAGGCAACATTTCCCTCATAGCATACTGTATGGCATATGCCCGTCTTTATCAACCCAGTTGGTGCAGAATAGTAGGGCCTTAAACTCTATTTTATTTCATTTTCATTTCTCTGTTAATAAAGATACATTATGGGAGAATAGATAAAGAGCTGACAGTTCTCATTATAATAGTTAAAAACTAGATAATGTAAAGGTAATTTGTTGAAAATTTCAGTCAAATTGGTCCACTATGAACCGAGATATCACCTTTGTAAATTTCCGCCTAGCCTCGTTCATCATTACTAAAGTTAGTACGTTTAAAAGGATTATCCATTGTTTTGATTTAATTATCAATGAGCGTTTGCATAATATAGGATTCTAATCCAGTCGATATCGAAGGCTAGCCTTGACATTGAGAGTTGATTACGGTCTGGATAAGTTAATTAATGTCTAATTAATAATTTAGATAACATTTCAGGCCTAAAGAAAGACTGTGATAGGCAGATTTAGCTCTTGCATAGTATGTTTAAGTAATTTAGTATTCACTTAAATATCTTGCATGAAATAATTACCTGAAGTATGGAAGGTGAAAATGGTATTGGTTTAGATATACCCAACTGACCATACGCAGTCTAAAATATATGAAATAAAGAGGAACAGTGATATAAAGGATTAAGACAACTATTAAGACTAATACTAAATTCTAATTTCTAGGTATATTTGTAGATAACTTAAAAGTAAAACAAGTTCCTTCTACAAATCACTAAATACTTGGAATTTTAATCTTCATTCAAGATAGGTTGCCAGGCAACGATACATACGCCCACAGCAGCTAAATCATCGGAGCGGTTGACAACGGTTGTCACATATTTAAATTATTGAAATTAAAGAAGATTCTTCATCTCACTGATGTAAACAACATATATCAATTTCAAAACAATCATATGATAAATGTAGTCTGTACAGTGTTCATGCACGGACAGGGGCAACGGCAATATACAAGTACAACCACATTTTCATGTGGGCGTATAAAGAGGGAAACAAGGATAGAGGAATCCAGAAAATTATAATGTATCCATGCTAGATATTTGTTCTTGATGTATGAAGTAGATGGATAGCTTTGTGCAGAATGATAGACAAGTCAGAATTTTAAAAACTCTGACCTGTCGAGCATTTACAATGTTTCAATAGAGTTCCTCCCCTGGAATAGCTTTACAACAATGTCACAAATAAAATATGGGTGTATAATAAAAATAACCAACCTGCGTCATTTTAGTAAAATCCAGAGTAGGTCTGTCATAGTCGTGACGTCGTTTTTTACCATATTTTCGATCATGTAGAACACATGGCTGTGATTTACATCGAGGAATTCTGTGGATACGGGGAGGTGACGAATAACGGAGGGAATCTGGGCCAGGACTACTAATACCCCCTAGTGGTCTGCTCGAGATTCGATCCTCACAAGAAAGACTTCGGTTCTGTAGAATTTCAAAACGGTTAAATTTATACGGACTGTGATCAAACCATGAGGAGCTGTGAGATATTTCACTCATGGCGGACGCTGGTCGGGGAACAGGAGACCCAGGGGGTGTCTGAAAGTCTGAAGATGTCACATGGCCACTGTCAACACTGACTGGTGAAGCAGAACTCATAAAGTTTTTCGTAAATGCTTTAGCCCCTGGCACCTGAGCCATGAATTTAGCGGACAGAGCCTGAAAGTCTTTATACACTGGTATCGGTTTGCACAAAGTTGTTCCGAAGAAATACGGATCCCCCTGATTGGGGGGAACTGAGAGTGAACGACAATGTTTTTTTGGTGGTGGTGCATTTGGTGTGCTCGGTGATGTATCACAGACAATATTCTGATTGGTCGAAATGCATTTGATCCCTTTACTTCCTCTTCTTTCTCCCCGCTTGCCACCATCTTGTTTATTGTTTCCATGGTTACTTGTATCTATCGATAATGTCCACACATTTTTACCTGAAACGATACAGACATAATTATTGAGTATTCCCATTACTTACATTCTACATTATCCTCTTGCCGATTCCATCAGTAAAATTATACCAATATTCTGGAACTTTTCAGTTTTGATTGATTCACATGGCACAGTCCGTAACGTGTAGGTTCAGATTGGTTGACTATAGTTTAGCTTCCCAATCAAAACCCACGTGCGATAAAGAAACAATTTCATGAAATCTACTGAAAGGCTTTTATCATCCAGACATTTAATTGGGCGTCTAATAAAAATCAAAAGTATCATTAAGCCTTCATCACAGAAGTGCTTTGTTTAAATTTCGAACACCCTGTTACAATCATGGGAACAAAGCCATGACCATACTGGTAAAAAGACTGAACTTCTACTGCACAGAAACCTTTCCTGTCAATGTCATAGTTTTACAAACCCATGTAAACTAACTTGCATGGCTTGCACAATGAGAGAGAGAAATGGGGTTTAACATCCATTCGACACAAACTAGCTCATTTCGGGACTAACAAGGTTCAATTTTGTTTCAATAATTCGCTTGTGCATAGGGGTCTTTAGCAGTGGGAGGAATACTACCGTCAAATCGAAACTATGATACAACGTGCAAGCATTAACCATTCGGCCACCCAACGCACTCTTGCACAATGATTACAGTACAGGCATGCTTGCACAGTATCCAACAGTATTTTATGTTTTATTCTTTAGATCTCTGAATAAAATATCTTTTCACCTTTGACTGATAAACTATCCACTGCTGTAGTCACCGGTTTTATTGTATTGTCATCATTAGATATCTGAAATACATTAAAAATCAATAAATAAGAAACAAGATTATAAAATATCTTCAAATATTATTAGTTAATATACACCCTTGTTGAAAACTGCTGATGATAATGGTAATATATGTATTTTCATACTATACATATGTACAAAGCTTGTTGTAATATTTTCATACTGATCTATTGTGCTAACCTTTCAGGTTTACACATATCAAGTTACAACACTGAAATTCTTAAGACAAAAAATCCATTTTAAAAAGGCAAACTGCCTTTTATATTTGCCGGCTGTCTTAATCTGAGTTTCGAGTTAATCATCTTAATTTCTTGAAATGCAAAATTACAGATGGATTCCTCAGATGGACATTTTTCATGAGAGCTTCACAATGACTGGCAGAAATGACTGAAATATGTGACATCCTTGCCAACAAAGTAGTACCTACATAAATGTAAATAACATAGGGTGTAGGGATAAATTCTATAAAGACTAACTTTCACTAAATATCTATAAAGATAACTCTTCATGTCCTATAAAGACAATTATACCTTTGACTAAATGTCCTATAATAAATACCCTTAACTAATTTTCTTGTAAAGATAACCCTTAAATTTCATTTTAAGACTTTCATTCAACTAAACATCCTATTAAGATAAACTTTGACTAATTGTCCTGGAAGATTAGAATTGACAAAAAATCCTGAAAAGAGTACCCTCAAAGAAAAAAGTCCTTTAAAGGTTACCTCCGATTATAGTCCTTTAAAGATTGTCTTCGATTATAGTCCTTTAAGGATTATATTCAATTAAATGTCCTGTACCGATTTCCTTGGATTAAATGTCGATTTCCTTGGATTAAATGTCCTATAATAAATACCTGTAACTAATTTTCTTGTAAAGATAACCTTTAAATTTCATATTAAGACTTTCATTCAACTAAACATCCTATTAAGATAAACTTTGACTAATTGTCCTGGAAGATTAGAATTGACAAAAAATCCTGAAAAGAGTACCCTCAAAGAAAAAAGTCCTTTAAAGGTTACCTCCGATTATAGTCCTTTAAAGATTATCTTCGATTATAGTCCTTTAAGGATTATATTCAATTAAATGTCCTGTACCGATTTCCTTGGATTAAATGTCAATTTCCTTGGATTAAATGTCCTGTACCGATTTCCTTTGATTAAATGTCTTATACCGATTACCTTTGTTTAAATGTCCTATATTGATTAAATGTCCTATATAAAGATTAGGTAAATGTCCTGTAAATGTTAGCAACACTATGATTGTTGGAAGGAAGATCATATGCATGTATGGTTCTAACTTTTCTTGCACAATTGACATTCTGGAAACGGATGCCCTAATAAAAGTATGCAGACAAATGCTATAAAAAGCTATGTGGATATAGTTTGTTGGTATTAGTCATATGTCATACATGTAACTTTCTGGCACCTTGTTACAACTGGAATGTACTTTGTTTAATGTTTACCTATCATTAATACACAGAAATCTACATCTTGATAAATAAAACAATAAACAATACTATTTACAAACAACAATAACAGATCCATAGAAATTAGTGAGAACTTCAGAACATATTTCGCCATGAGATTCTGGTAGAGCTAAAATCTGAATTAATGAAAATTCTTCAAGCCATCTGATTCAGATCATTTGCTTGATAAAGACAAGACTACCCTCGTTGAAACATCGCTTAGTATTAAACTCAGTAATTGTGAATCCCTAAAATTGTACCATGTGTTAGTATGTTCAATTACTAAATGCGAATCAAAGACGCTTGTAGACCAAACTAGCGGCTGCCAGGCAGAATACGCCCACATTTTCGAGAGATGGATAGAGAACAAGCTAAAAAGAATGTGATTTTTCCTACAATCAAGGGCCATAATTCAGGAAATTACAATTCGATATGCACAATTAAACTTACATTTCAAGTTTCAACAAAATCAGATAAAAATTGTGACCTCTATAGGGTCCACAACCTTGATATACCATATTTTTAAGCTATTTGAGAACGAGGGGCGGCCATTTTGTCTGTCAGTTTTAGGCAGATTTTCATGAAATTCGAACTTAGCCGTCGTTAGGGTGTAACGGTGATATAATAATACGTTTTTTAAAATCGGATAAAAATTATGACCTCTATAGGGTCCACAAGCTAAAAACGCGATTTTTCGTACAATCAGGGGCCATAATTCAGGAACCGAGATCTTTGGGTTATAAACTTACATTTCAAGTTTCAACAAAATCGGATAAAAATTGTGACCTCTATAGGGTCCACAACCTTGATATACCATATTTTTACGCTATTTGAGAACAAACGGCGGCCATTTTGTCTGTCAATTTTGGGCAGATTTTCACGAAATTCGAACTCAGTCGTCCTTATGGTGTAACGGTGATATAATTATATGTTTTTTTAAATCAGATAAAAATTATGACCTCTATAGGGTCCACAAGCTAAAAACACGATTTTTCGTACAATCAGGGCCATAATTCAGGAAGTTACGGTCCGATATGCGCAAATAACAAAAGGAACCAAGATCTTTGGGTTATAAACTTACATTTCAAGTTTCAACAAAATCGGATAAAAATTGTGACCTCTATAGGGTCCACAACCTTGATATACCATATTTTTACGCTATTTGAGAACGAACGGCAGCCATTTTGTCTGTCAGTTTTAGGCCCATTTTCACGAAATTCGAACTCAATCGTCCTTAGGGTGTAACGGTGATATAATAATACGTTTTTTTAAATCGGATAAAAATTTTGACCTCTGTTGGGTCCACAATCAGGGGCCATAATTCAGGAAGTTACGGTCTGATATGCGCGAATATCGACTGGACCCGAGATCTTTGGGTTATAAACTTACATTTCAAGTTTCAACAAAATCGAATAAAAATTGTGACCTCTATAAGGTCCACAACCTTGATATACCATATTTTTACGCCATTTTGTCTGTCAATTTTAGGCCAATTTTCAAGAAATTCGAACTCAGTCGTCTTTATGGTGTAACGGTGATATAATAATACGGTTTTTTAAATCGGATAAAAATTATGACGGACAGGGGCGACGGCATAATACGTCCACATGAAAATGTGGGCATATAAAAATCTGATTCAATGAGCATTATCATAGCAATTATAGCTGACCATTCTTGCTACAATAGTTCAAAAATAGAAGTTATCAGTGTTTGAGTTGTAGCATAAATTATATATAACTGACTGAAGTAACAAGGATAACACAGTCGAATTTCAGTTCACTGATAATTCCTTCAAGATTGAAAGTTGTTAAATGAGTCGGTGAGAAGATATCTGACAATTTATAAAAGTAATTGACTGTCACTAGATAAGAGAAAACGAAAAAAAAAAAATAGAAAAAGTCTGTGTATTACCATGTTTTTATTAAGTATTGTATAGAATGAATAAAGCTAGGTTGCCAGGCAACAAAACATACGCCCACAGCAGCTAAATCGTCCGGGCAGTCAACAAGAGTTGTTACATATTTTGAATTTTCGGTAATGAAACATTTATAATAAACTAAAATCTGATTATAAATTTAAAGTCAATTGGATATTAACTTTGGCCTCTGATTATAAATCTGATTATAAATTTAAAGTCAATTGGATATTAACTTTGACCTCTTGAGCGTCCACAAGATTTTTCAAAGTGATCAAGGGCCATAACTCTAGCAGTAATTATCGGAAATCGCTGAAAATCAAAAGGCTTCTTCGTCTCATAACCTTAAACACTGTGTATAAATTTAAAGTCAATCGGATATTAACTTTGCCCTCTAGAGCGTCCACAAGATTTTTCAAAGTGATTAAGGGCCATAACTCTGGCAGTAATTATCGGAAATCGCTGAAAATCCACAAGATTTTTCAAAGTGATCAAGGCCCACAACACTGGCAGTAATTATCGGAAATTGCTAAAAATCAATAGGATTCTTCGTCTCATGATCTTAAACACTGTGTATAAATTTAAAGTCAATCAGATATTAACTTTGGCCTTTAGAGCGTCCACAAGATTTTTCAAAGTGATCAAGGGCCACAACACTGGCAGTAATTATCGGAAATTGCTAAAAATCAATAGGCTTCTTCGTCTCATGACCTTAAACACTGTGTATAAATTTAAAGTCAATCAGATATTAACTTTAGCCTCTACAGCGTCCACAAGCAATTGTGGACGCCGGCCGGCCTGACAGACGGACGGACGGACGGGGGCGACGACAATATACAACCACATTTAAATGTGGGCATATAAAAACAAGGGAATGTACAGGCCATTTCTATTTTTCTCTAAGCTGAAATTTGAACGTGTATCTGTTATCACTTGTTCCTTCAGTCAGTTATATATAAGTCAGTTATGATAACGTCTAGGGTGGTCACAAGCAATTGTGGACAACAGACTTGGGTGACAACAATAATTACATTTCAATGTTGTATCTGTTTTTATATCCTTGTAAACATGATGCATTCTTTTTATTTTAAGGTTAATCTTTTTTCCTGTGGGGGGGGGGGGGGGCTGGGGGCTGAATGGTTAGAGTGCGCGAGCTGTATCATGAAGTCTGTCATTGAGTCAACTGGCGTGGTTTCGAATCCCCGGTTGTATGTGACAAGGAGTAGGGTCGCCTGTCCAACCTCGTGGGTTTTCTCCGGGTCCTCCGGTTTCCTCCCACTGCTAAAGACCCCTACGCGCAAGCGAATTATTGAAATAAAATTAAACCATGTTAGTCCCGAAATGACCTAGTTGTGTCGAGTGGACGTTAAACCCCATTTCTCTCTCTCTCTTTTCCTGTGGGTTACTGAACCGATTCTGGCACAAATAATTAATATAGAGTCTTTAATAGGCAGTATGAAAGACCACTTTCTGGTGATTAAAAACTATTATTAAGAGCAGTTAATTAGAACTATATATCGAGACAAAAAATTCTATGAATACAGAAAAGTAACAATAGTTATATGCATTCATGCATATTATTACTGACATTATAAGCTAGGATCAATACTTTTCTTAACC